CAGAATCTTAAACAATTACAACAAAAACGTTTTTTTTCGCAATCGTGAAATAAAATGTCTCGTCTGTATACACAAATACACTCACAAACAATAAAAGTATCGACTGGACTCGTGTGTGGTTCTCTAAACAATCTTAGGACTAAACAGAATATCAAACAGGGTCGTTTTTATTCCCAAAGATGCGTAAGGACGTCACGTTTGCGAATAATCACGTTTCGTCAGCGTATTCGCGGCGCGTGCGCATCGGAGGATACGCTCCCCGCAAGATGGCAGCACCGCGCTAAGGCTGCCGACTTCCGACACGCGACATTGGTATTCAATTGGGCACGTTTTTTTCTGATGGAAATCTGACAGACGTGGGATTGTAATGTTAGGGTTTTCTGATGATAATGCCAACGCGAACAATAGGTGTCGCCACAGTTGGAAATAGTAAAATATATTTCTTTATATCTTTAAAGACTATGACATGTACAGGCGAGTCTAGATAGTGATTGTTTTTCCTTATATTTTGATTATTGTAGGCATGTTGGAAATTTGAAATAGTTTTTTGTTTTGTATACATACATTTGTGTATATATTTTTTTTTAATATAGAATTTAATTTCTCGTAAGATTTTTTTCCTTAGGTACAATGGTGGGACATGGTAGTGAATTTACAAGGTACAGAGGTATATCTGAGTCCTCAGGAATGGCAACGCATAGGGGGCATCATGTGCGAAACAGAATGCTCTGTTATGTCCATAGTACTGCTCATGTCTATAGGCGACGGTTACCACTTTCCATCAGGTGGGCCGTCAGTTTGTTTGCCATTTAAAATTGCATAAAAAAAAGACAAGTTCCACTTTGGCGTTGCGGTAAAATTTTTTGTTATGTTTACAATGCTTATCTGAAGCGTTCAAACGTTATCGATTTAATGGTATTTACTTAGGATAACATTTGGTTAAACATGTCATCAAAGCAAATATGATAGTGCAACATAACGATAGAATTATCATATATATAAAGGATAATACACTTTTTTATGGTGTTGTAACATATTTGTTATGGGTAATATCAATCAATCAATACAATAAAGGATGTATGAAACGACATGTTTAGGTATAGAAGTAATATTTTTTTTTATACAACTTAGTATGGCAAACAAGCTGACGGCCCACCTGATGGAAAGTGGTAACCGTCGCATATAGACATGAGCAGTACCATGGATATAACAGAGTATACTGTTATAGATATTCAATTCAATTCAATTCAATTTATTTATTGAATTGAAAGATGTTAATAATTGCTACAGTACATTGTAGACCCTGTCGGGCACAGCGATTAGAAGCGAGGAGGGCATCAATCCTTAAATTTTCAAAAAGATTTCAATAATTAAATAATTCAATTTCAATTTCATCAATGTCATTAAATTCTAAATTAATTTAATGACTTTAACGATTTGTTTTATTTCCATGTTTAATTTTTATTTAATGCAATTTAATTATTAAAAAATGGATTCGAAACGATTTGAATCCTCTTACGCCGAGGCATTTAGATGCAATGCTACGTGTAGATATCGGTGCCAAATTTAACAGAAAGGTTGGGAAACACTGATCTACGGTAACTATGTGAAGGGAAAGTCAGGTATCTCTGGAAGCAATTTATATGAGACAAGTTATAAAGGTGATCTTTATTCACTTTCGGAACTTCATAACAAAAAAATGTATGTAAAAATGAACTCTCTAATCTCATTACCAAAATAAGATAAAAAAATGCATACAGTATTCAAGAAACGACCACCGGCGACGTTAATTTCAAAATTTCTTTATTAAAGTTGAGGGTATTTTTTTTTTAATTTAAGAAACATGAATTTATTACCGAAACCACAAATTCACACTTGATATAAAAATCTAAGCGGAAAACGTTATTACTTCACGGGGACAAATCGATTGGCCCTCAACCCTCTCATTTGGTTCTCATTAAGCCCGCCGGATGCTCAGACAATTATTTTTACGATCACATTAACTTGATCTGTACACCCCATTTAAGTTTTAGCAGTGCGCGAACTAAGAAGGGATCTAGTTAGGTTGGATTTTATGTATTATTAAATGTGACGTCCTGGCTACTTATAGCATCCTGGTACATCAATTTTAGGGATGTTAATTTGTTTAATGTAAAATGATTGTATTCGGTATCTATTAACAGAAATACCTATAGTTTCGATGAAGGGGTAGGGATAGAGGCGTGGCGACGCCATGCCCCGCCCATTCACTTACTTGCATAATTAGAATGCAACACCATAAGAATAACATAAATAGAAGAATATTTAACTGCGATTGTAATATATTTATTGTAATATAATTGAAATAAATTAATGGTTATTGAATAAATTTGATGATGTGAGACACGTGGAAAAATTTTCGAATTTATAATTATTGTAAAATAACACTATTACACATTTTTTTTTTTATTTTTATATAAATAATACTTGATCTATTTGCATTCTCTAAAGTATATGACATTTTGAAGTATTATTATCATATATATATATATATATATATATATATATATATATATATATATATATATATATATATATATATATATATATATATATATATATATATATATATATATATATATATAGTATATAGTATATTTTAAGTAATTATTATCACATAAAAATACGAAAATAACATTAGGTTAGTTACTAAGCGAAACCTGTAAATAAGTATTCAAATTTTATAGTATACTAGCTATCCGATAACGAAGACGAATCCAACAAATTAAAGTTCATCAAAATCGGTACAGCCGTTCTTGAGTTATAATTAGTGTAACTAACCCGACTTTGTGGGGGGAAAGGGATTGTTAGTAACAGACCCATTGCTAGAAATATACCCTCTCAGGTCGATCTCCACGCGGTTCCTCCTGGAAACCAATAAGAAAATCTATTCTTGTTTAATTCATCATGGTGGGCCGGTGCATACCGATAGCGCGGGCGGGGTAACCATTCCATTTTCCCCAATAAAAAAAATAAATAAAAAAAACCGACTTTGTTTTATATGATTATATAGATAGAATAGAATAAAATTGTAACTACGAGTAGATAATTTCTATAGGAGTTATTTAAGAAAAAATATATTACTTAAGGGGCTTAATGTGAGCATTAGAAGTCGAAACAATATATTTTTTTGAATTTTCTCTTTGACTGATTCCTTGTTCTATTACACATAATTTACTACACATAACTGTAAAATGTAACTTAAAATGATGTATATTTTTTCTCAATACGACAACTAGAAGAAATGTATTTCATTGGTTCAAAACTAAGAATATACAGATAGAGTGTCTCCATACAAATGCTTCGAGAAAGGCGGCTCAACTTTTTCATACAATTTTACGTAATAGTTTTTTTTTTATACAACTTAGGATGGCAAACAAGCTGACGGCCCACCTGATGGAAAGTGGTAACCGTCAACTATAGACATGAGCGGTACCATGGACATAACAGAGTATACTGTTTCGCCCATGATACCCCCCATGCGTTGCCATTCCTGAGGACTCAGTTGTTATTCCTCTGTACCCAGTAAATTCACGCCATATCCCACCCTTCAAATCGAAACACAGCCATGCAAACACAACTGCTTTACGGTTGAAACACGAATGGGACAGAGGTAGCCAAGCAATCGACTTTTGTCCCTCTGGTGCATACACATTATATAATATATATAAATATTAATACATATATAAGAATCAATGTATTACAAATACCTAATTTAATTCAACACGTAGCACCACAATCGGCAATGAATAACAAACGGCCAAAGAGAACAATTTCCTAAGTCTGTAAAACAATCCGCTGTCAATTTTGACACGTCATTAACATTCAGGGCTGCCACCGTATTAAAATTTCAAATTTCGTATTGTACCGACGAATTTCGTTATTGTTTATGTATAATAAGGATTTTGAGATTAAATTGGGCGTTTAAAATTCTCGACGTGTGCCCCTAAAGCGCATTATTTCGCTTATATTTTGACAAATGTCGAGAGATCAATGGATTTTGGTAATGGTATTCTGTTAGTGTCAGCGTTTACTGTGAATTGGTGTATAGAACACTCGAGACGTACAATTTTTATTCAATGCAGTTGTTGAGAGGAGACGTATTTGATATTTTATAGCAAGATATCGAATTAGAATGAATTCGGTAATTTATTCTATATACTTATATAAAAGCTAATGCCACTTTTCGTTGTAATTTTATAACTCAAGAACGGGCTCACCTATCCAAACCAAGTTTAGGCTTTGTTCGGACTATTTAGTAGACGGTTTATGTGAAGTTTGCACAAAATCGCTCGAGCGGTTCTTCATTTATCACATTTTTTGTAACAAATGAATTCAATAAATGGCTGATCATTTTGTTAATGGGGATTTTTATGTCAAATTCAAACTTTTTTTAAGATGGGGATTGTGCTGTCAAATTGAAACTTTTTCAGTGTTGACAGTACAAGCATGTTGTTATGTCATTCATGCGGTCATTTCAGTTTGGACGTGCTTCGATTAAAGCAAACTGTCAGCGATATTGATGTTAATTTTTTTTTTTTATTATTTCACTTTATACGTATCGAAGCACGTACCAGGCCGCTAGTTATTTGTATAACAGTAATATTTAATAATTACAAACATATAATGCATATATGCAAAATATGCAAAAATACGTGGCTCTAAGTGTTATGTAATGCTCCAATAGTATTTAAATATTGCAAAATTAATTAATTTATAATAACTATAAATTTTTATTTATTCATGTATTCAATCGACTAAGTGAGCTTTACAGTCTCCCAATGATAGGAAAATATCAATACAAGAATAAATACTGTAAAGATAGAATTCAAACAACGAATAATAAATTAATATGAAGTAATACATAGTAATTTAATACATATAATAATAATAAAAAAAAAATATTTTTAACCGACTTCATATATTATTATATTATCTGTGTATTTTAGAGTTGTACTCACCTAAGATGACATCCCTAGCGGAGCATAGGCTGGCCGCAAACAAAGCGAGCGCTACGGCGACCGACAACTGTCGAACGGCGGGCGACATGTTGCGACTCAACTTCGGACAGCCATCAGCGACTGTAACAATAACATTACGTAAATAACAAATACATATTATTGATTATTATCTTAATATAGCTCCTCAGTGGTCACCAACCAGCTAACAAAACTGTCGCCAGAGGGCGCTGATGTCTTCCGTAAATCAGACAAATATGCATTATCTTTCAAGATCTAAAAGCAAACGGGAATGTTACTTTGTTACCTGACTTTAATAAGAATAAGGTTCTCAAATCGTTTCTATTTATTTATATTTGTCACCTCATAACTCCGTCAGTCATGAACATGAACCGATTTGGATAATTCTTTTTTTTTTCGGAAAGTAAATATTTATAAATCAGATCGATTTATAGAAGTTTTATCAAAATCGATTCAGTATTTTAGTTTTTAAATCAAAATAACTGGTTTAGCCACAATCGAAGTCGATTTGTTTTGTTTTTTTTTTTTTTTAATAGAACGTATCCATTTTTTTTTAATACAACTATGGTGGCAAAGAAATGGCAAACAGTTACCGTAGTCTATAGACGCTTATTACTCTAGGGAAATTATAATATAGAATAATATTGTTCCATGATCTAGCAATTTATAAATAAACCCAATGATCGGAGTTTATTGACCTCATATTAAAAAAAAAACTTGTAAGAAAGTTTCGGCACAAAATGTTACAGATAAAAAATGAGAGCATAATTCGCATTTCGTTAAATACGCTCTTCACATCTATTTTAATGTCGCTTTTTATTATCTATGCATCTTGGGTCTTTTGTATATCAATGTATTAAATATATATGTATAGGTTTTTTTTTGATGGGTGAAAATGATATGGTAACCCCGCCTGTGCTAACGGGATACGCTGGCGGAGCACCAGTGAAGGGTGATAGATGAGAATGAAAACAGGCCAGTTAGCCCATCATGATGAATTAAAAAAATTAACCATTATAGTTTCCAGGGAGAACCGCGAGGAGGTCGACCTGGTTGGGTATATTGCTAGCAATAGGATTTTCAATCTCCATTACTAACAATCCCTTTCCCCCTTATATGTATAGGTATATGTATGTTTTTTTAATAAGGAAGTAATATTAGCAAGACAAATGCAAATTGCGCACTTTAGTCGCCGTACACATCAAAGGGAAAAGCTTTTAGTAATATTTTACATTACATTTGACTACGCTTGTTTTATCTCCATTCAAATGTCGCAGCACAACATAAATTCCGTCAGTTATAAAATAAATCCGGGCCGTTACGCTAATGATAACTGCCTACACTCATCCAGCCCGGCTCGTACGTAACCCTGTCACGAGAAGCAGGCAACAAATCAAAATTATAACAAAATGTAGGCCACTGATGTACATAAGTGTGCACAACACTTATACAGCTACATAAATACACGATTTAAACTATTTTTATGATTATAAAAAAAAAACGAATTTTTATTACAAAATTACTTTTAAAATGGAAAAGAACCTTTTCGATTAGAAAATAATCATCAAAAATTGTTTCAATTGAAAAAAAAAACAAAAAAATAGCCGTAAACGCTTACAACTTGCAATCAATGGTTTGAGACGTACGCTCGCGTTAAACCCGCTCACGATTAACGGTCCCGAATGGTCCCGAAAGTAGTCTACCTTTCTTGACTAAATTACACGTAAGTTTAACCGGTCGTTATTACACAAAATTGAAAACATAGGTTAGGTAAATACATTAATAATTAAATCACTGATTAATCGATAAGAAATATTTTGTTAATTGCGCTAACACTTCCAGTAATAAATACATAGAAAAGATAAACACTAGATGTCATGTCGTATAGTAAACTCAAAGATATGGCCCGGAATAGAACTGGCTGGAAGAGTATGCATGAATTAGTTGCACCGACAAGAGGAAACTTTTAAATAAAAAAAAAAAGTATTTATTCAGTCTGTAGTAAGTACTATAACATGAAAACTGGCTAAAAAATTACAAATCTTGTAACTATGCAAAAGTTTAAGGTGCACGTACATCTGTTACATTCCAAATATAACTCTACTTGAATGCATAGGTAATATTTCAATACGTAATACGGGCCGGTGAATATACAGGGTGCGAGAAAACACATAAACGTCAAGTGCGCTCCCTTTACGGCGGGCGAAATGTTTACGACCTGTTTTACACTGGCCTTCACAAATGATCGTGAGTGCAACGTATGCACACAATGATGCATTTATTATCGATACTTGTAGCTGTCTTTCGCAGCTTCGCCTGCGCATAACCCGCTATCACCTATTTCCACAGAAATTTAAAAAGAAATTAAATGGATTTTCTTATACAGCATAGAATAGTATACAAGCTTACGGCCCACCAGATGGAAAATAACCACTATCACCTAAAGACTGGAACTAATATGGATATCACAAAATACACTGTAATACTCATGGATCTCTCATTCAACCATTGACATTCTTGAGAATTGAAAGAGTGTACTTTAAAAAAACTAAGGTTAACACGTCCGCACCTTGTAATTTCATCACCAGGTTCACGGTTGAAACACGAATAGGACAGAGGTACCCAAGCAATCTACTTTTGTACAGTCTCCCTCTCCTCATACCAAATGATGGCTTTAAATGTCCTCCAAAGTACGATGCTTGTAATAATAATTTCTTCATCATCATCATCATATCAGCTGTTAACTGCCCACTGCTGAATATAGGCCTCCCCCATAAAGCAGTTTTGCCAGTAATTGCCACGCTTGGCAAGCGGAAAGGAGAAATTACGATTTTATATGAATATGAATTTTAACTCGTGTTTTAGCTGGCATTTAGTTTTAAAATCTTTGGACAAAGTTAATCGTTTCCCTTCTATTTATCCTATTTAAGAGCTGCGCTCTTGTCGGTGGTGCTCTTGCCACTCACTACGATTTTCAGCGAGTCTCTTCACCTCTTGATACGACACGACACCAACACCTTCCTCGATCTGCCTGATGTAACTATGTCTCGGTCTTCCTCTTCCCCTCCTTCCTTCTATCTTACCTTCTATTATAATGTTCATAAGTTCGTCGTGTCGTATCAAGTGTCCCAACATTTTCCCCCTTCTGTCCTTCTGTGTCTGTCCGTTTCCCTTATGTCAAGTAAAATTTTCGCTTTTTCAATGATATTCATGTTTATTTTATTAAACAATTTATAAAAAAAAATATATAAATATACTAAATACATATTATGATTGTTAAATTAATCATCAAAGCGAGCCAACCCCAAAAATACAAGTTTGTGCACTTTTTAAAAATAAATTTTTTCGTGTACCGCCTCCATTGCGCCGGTCGTTGGCACCATATAAAATTAAACATTAAATAAACAACGTTATAAAATAACTCCGGTTTGATTCACTACCGTGTTCGGTTCCAAAAGGGGTGTATAAAAATATTCCATTCGGTCGCCACGTTCACTGCAGGTACCCGTTTGATATAATAATATTTATAAAATGTTAATTGAACACATCATGCTTTTTATAGATGATAGTGCATTTCCTGTATTTAATTTTATGTTGCAAGTATGTTGCTTTAGAAAGCCTTCGTTGTAAGGTAATATTTCCCTTTGTGGTGTAGTACATTATCTGTTTTCATCCCTCCTCTCATATCATACCTTTTCATCCCTAGTATATTGTACAGTGGACTAACGGGAATGAGGGGAGCCCACCCATCCCAGGTCCACTCGAGATCCTGAAGGGCCTCAAGACGTTTCCATTTTCCTCGTCCATATATATATTCTATGTATATTTATTTAAGCCTATTTTAACTTCACTTGCAATATTTTAAAGATAACAGTTCTCTACTCGGTTGCATTTTTTTTTTTATATTTATTAGTGAGTCTCCGTCAGTTATAAACCGATTTCGATACTTTTTTTTATCTGAAAGGTTATACTTACAGTTTGGTTTCACAGAAATTTTATCAAAATAATTTCAGTAGTTTAGTTTTTTCAATCAAAATAACTGGTTTTACCACAATTGAAGTCGGTTTTTTTTTTAACCACAATTTTTTGTCTTTTTTTTTACAACACAGGGGGCAAACGAACATACGGCTCACCTGATGGTAAGTGACTACCGCCGCCCATGGTCACCCGCAACATCAACGGCATTGCAGATATTTTTTGTCTGTTTTAATTTCTTGATATTTAATTTCGAAAAAGTCATGCCAATGTCTTCCTAATAAATATATTACTGTAAAAACCCGTACATTAATAAATCTTATGTTTAACTAGTAAATTTTAGGATTTACCAACAAGAGTTGACAAATGTAAGGATTTTTAGGAAAGAAAATAATTTTATGGGAAATAACCTCACCTTTCTGATCTAAACGTGTTTATATATATTACGTCTGTTACTGTAAAACTTATACAAAATTATATCTATATTTATACCAGAGATGATAACTAATTTTTTTATACTACTATAGAATGGCAAACAAGCTGACGGCCCACCTGATGGAAAGCGGTAACCGTCACCTATAGACATAAGCAGTAACATAACAGAGTGTACTGTTTCGCCCATGATACCCCCCTTGCGTTGCCATTCCTGAGGACTCAGTTGTTATTCCTCTATACTCAGTAAATTCATGCCATATCCCACCCTTCAAACCGAAACACAGGCATGCAAAAACAACTGCTTCACGGTTGAAACACGAATGGGACAGAGGTACTCAAGCAATCGACTTTTGTACAAAGTCTCCCTCTGGTAAATTACATACTTTTATAAATTTTATTATTATTAAGGAATTTTTTAAACAAAACATTTTTAAAATCACCAACTCATATTGGTAAATCCTAAGGTTTACTAGTTTAACTTAAGATTTATCAATATTCGGGCTTTTACAGTAACTTATACAATAAATTATCTCTCTATTATCGTCCACTTACCTAATTCTAGATGCTATTCACAATTTATATCTACATTAATCGTAAACATTCACCCTCAGGTATTGACCACAAGAGCAGTCAACTATAAAAAGAACTATTTTCATTGAAAACGTTAACAGTATAAAATTTTATGGTCAGCC